CTGGCATCCCTCCGCTGTCTACAAGAGAGAAGACACTGTAAACACAAAACCCTCCAAAAACAGTTGGTAAGCTCCGACTTCTCAGCACTGGCAGCAAATCCAAACCTACCAGGGGCAATCTGTATTTTGCACCCAGACTCCTGCTGGAGACGTGATATTTGTTCACCTCCTCTTCCAATAACTAGAACAGGCAATGACAAAAACCAAGTATAAATATCAAATTCTAAGAGCACAGAAGTTATGCTTTTTGGTGGGGGGGGGGGGGGGGTTTGTTTTGTTTTTTTTAAACAAACACTTACTGAAGCCAACCATGCCATCTGGGACCTTGAATTCTTCTGATGTTGACCTTAGGATAACGGGAGATTAATCAACATAAACTTTATAATACAATGAAGCCAAGCACAGTATGTGAACATGTTTAAATTGATAATGCCCGTTTACCTTGGGGGACCAGCCATTCCTCCAATACCTGAAAAGGCTGCAAGAAGACGACCAATTAGCCAAAAGAAGACTTAATAAAATAAAATACAATTTTGAAGAACCAAATTTCACATTCTTGCACACATTTGGCCTTTTTAAAGTAGTAAATACAACTGCACCTTCAGTTCACTTACCATCATTTGTAGCCACTTTCTTTGTCTCTGGTTGGTCTGTGAAAAAAATGACATAACCAGTGTAAGTACCTCTCATTATTCCCATGCCACATCACATTATTAGCTCCCCCCCCAATCAAAGAAAAAACAAACTGATTTTACACATCTAAAATTCATTTGTCAACACTACGTGGAATTTAAACAGTTCAGACAGCTGGATTAGACGCTCATCTGCCAGCTTCCTGCATGCATACTTGGCTTGATATCCTATCTGAAGATGTTTAGTCCTACTCAACGCTGATGCTAAATCCTCAGTTTTGTTTAACATAATTCAACAATACTCTGCAACACAGAGCTATACTGTAATGTTCTATCTGCCAGATTATTCAAGCAGCCAGAGTCCTTGCACTTATTAACTCAGTAATGAAGTCAATTCATTGGCTCCAAATTAGAAATAAATCACCATTGAAGTCCCTGTATTTGTTCAGCTCTCAAAGGTTTGTTAACCCCAGTTCTGACTTGATCAGTGCCTATAACCCGATTATACCTCAATTATACCTCTCAAGCAGGATGTCAGATTTTTCAGAAGAATACCCCCAAATTGTTTTTCCAACTCAGAAATCCTGAGATGTCCCGCTAATCCCGATTTAACAATCTTAGATGAGGGTAGAGAACATAAGCAACAGAAAAGCTGTAAAAGTCTGTAAATCATCATTGTGGATTTGTGACTCGCTAAATAAGACATGCTGAGATCAGTGACCAGCGTCTATACAGGAACATGCTGCAACTCACTTTTTAAGTGAGGAAGAAAAACCCAAAACAAAAGTAGAACAAGAACTGTGCTGCACTGCTAGTAATGCGTTAATAGCTCTGTCTTGCTGAGGAACAAAACAAATCCTGTTTTTCAGCCTTCGCTAGTGGAACGCGCTAAACTCAGGAGTGTCACTCCCAGCGCCAAGATCTGAGGCAAATACAAAGCAGCATTAAATCCAAGTGTCCTGAAGGTGCTTTCAGTTGCACATAAATCATACTTCCGTGCCAGAGCTACAACGTAATTATTGGAACTCCATTTTAACCCTACGCCCCAACCTTCTACATACAACAACTACACGTCAGGTCGGCGCATACCCCAACAACTTGAATGCTGAGGAAGTTAAGAGTTAATAACTGTGTGTGTGTTAACTGGTCTTATTTCTTTGTGAAGTACAGTTTGTTTGTTTTTTATTTTATATTAAGTTTCCAAACCCAGAGAAAGTAAATAAACCCAGATTAAGCATTATAATGTAATTAAAACCATGATTTTCCCCCCCCCAATCTTTTCCAGACTTTATAATCAGTACATGTGTGAACCAAGCAAACTGGAAACTGTCATGCTTTCATTTTGGACCACATTAACCACCAAAAAACATCTACTTAACCTGTTTATAGGCTAGTAAAGCTAATTACACCCACTCACGCCTTAACCAATATTTGCCTCCAGTCTGGTCCACTCAATCAAAAAAAAATAATAATAATGATTTGACACATGAAAATATTTACAAGACATTAGAAGATAAGGTAAAACCATCACCCTAAACACATGCCATGTGCAACATACTGCTGCTTTTTAACTGGTTAGTAATAATGTACAGTGTTAGATCTAAAGGTGAAAATTCACACTGAGAGGAAAAAACGATTAAAAAAAACAAAATAACTGGGTTATGGACGTTAAAACAGAATAAATGCATTTCAGCAGCTGCTAAAAAATGAAACACAAAGGCAGGCATTAACTAGAAAGACTTGCATTGAGATCGATTTGAGCCACTGACCGATATTCAGGTTAGGCATGGGAAAATACCCACCAGCGTCCTCCAGGGGCCTTTTCTGGCCCCCGTAGCCGAACTCGTTTGTCGGGGGTGCCGCAACTCCGTCCCCGCCAATCTTTGCTGCGATCTGAAAGCAAAAAATGAAGCAACAAGAGAACACGTGAACTCCCGAGATCATGTATTTGTTGTTCGTGTCTCTTAAGGTGCGTTTGGAGAGGAGAGGCGTGCTGCCTGCGGCCTACTGTCCTAGCCGGAAGTCCAACAAAGGGGAGCTTCAGGTTTCACTTTAGCAAATCGGTTAATTTTGCTACAACACAAAAACACCAGCTTGCATTTAACTTATACAATTATTATCTTATTTTTTAACCACTCTAAGCTGCGATCTGTTGTGTTTTCCCGTCTGTTTTCGTTTTCAGAGTAACGCAACGTTAGCTTAGCTCAGCTACCTTCAGAGCACAACGACAGAAAGCGCCGAAAACTCGCAATTCGTTCCCGGCCTGCGGGATATTTTTAGCCCGAGTGATTCCGTAGTCGTCTTCTCACCTGTCGTGCTCGTTGCAGAGCGTCTTTAAAAGCGTCGTTCATGCCGCCACCGGCGTTTGAGGACGGGGGAGCCACGTTGCTGTAGTCTGCCATATCTGCCTGCTGCTGCTCTTCTCCTCCTCGGCGCGATAAGATGGCGGCTCGGTCTCACAAACGGGAGGTGGTGGGAGACACGAGAAACTCGCGGGCCAGTGTTTGCTCTCGCGATAACGGCCTCACGTGTGTCACCAGAGGAGATTTGGAGCAGGAATCAGTATCAGACGACCTTTGAAATGTACTGCTGTAGAAATACTTCTTTTGAAATTTTACTTGAGTAAAAGTGCAAAAAATATGAACATAAAAGCGAAAAAAGTAAACATTCTTATCGTGTTCAACAGCATGTTTCAGAAGATCACTTTTAACACTGGTTTGTAATAACTGATAGATAATTGGGGCTGATTTTAAGCTTCAGTTTAAAAAAAAAAAGCAAACTGATTATATTTATTTTCATTAATTTCACTTTGTAATTAGTTACTACATTCATTGTAGTGAAGAAAAAAAACAATATTCCCCTGAAAGGTAGTATTATTTGCTTCTATTCCACCACATATACGTGATAAATAAATAAATGTAAACTTCTGGGTTAAATATGCTATTTTATAAAGAGTTTCCGCATTTTACAGGGATACAAATCTAATTTTACACGTGCAATAGACCTGCTGCAGCTCATCATTTGTGTTTGACTGTGTGCAAAGGTTGCAGCGAGGGGATGTCAAATTATGCTTTGCAGGAGAATCAGCCCACCAGACGGCCCATTTTGTGTAACAATTATAGTCTTCTTTCGACTACTCCCTTTAGGGGTTGCTCTCCTATCCACCCCCAGTATCCTCCTCTGTTACACCAACCCTCTCTATGTCCTCCTCCTCCGCATTCACAAATCTTCTGTGTGGTCTTCCTCTTTTTCTCTTGTCTGGCAGCTCCACATTCAAAGTCCTTTGTCCAGTATATTCCCTATCCCTCCTCTGCACATGTCCAAACCATCTCAGTTTTGCCTCCCTAACTTTGTCAGAGTCCAACAATTGCACTTAAATCAGTAATAACTTTATAATAATATTTCTTTAGTAACATGCAGTGCTGTCTTTTGTTTATGAAGACAAGTTGCTTGAATCTTCATGGCATAAAATACTATTATCTAATATTCAGTAAGGTTGAGGTTCTGTGCCAGCTATAACGAAATCCCAATGAATCCCAACGAAATCTCAGAGGAGAAGCTCTTTGCACTATAAACACGGATAAAATGTCCCATGGAGTTTGTTGGTCACGTCGAAATCTTATAACCTGAGTGCGATGGATCAAAACTTCACTGTGCTCATCTTTTTTTTTGTGACATATGAAATTTTATTTTATATATTAGCATTGTTGTTGGTGAGTATATTGTTTGCTCTGTGCGGCTTTACTATTTCCCTCAATAAGGATGATCTCACAAAGAATTCACTTGGCCTATGTGACCCTTAATGACTCACACGATCAAGGCATGGATCAGCGACTCTCAACGACCACTTCAGCGTGACAACGGCACTACGGGTTAAATATTTGAGACTGACTTTTAGAGCTGAAGAGTCCTTTCAGGTAAATGTCTTCAAAACCTGAAAAAGATTTATTCCAGAAGACTTTCACTCCTAAATCTTTATTTTAAACATGACATTAAATCTGTTACTCCTGAGATTCACACACTTAAATTGAAAATGATCACTTTTGTAAATGTATAGAAATGTAGATATCTCATTATCCCCATCGCTACCATCCTCCTCTGTCACACCAACCCTAAGCAGGTCCTTCACTACATCACTGAATTTTCTCTCTAGCCTTTCTCTTTTCCTCCATCCTCCTCTCTCGCTGCTTCCTAACATGCCTTCCCCATCGCCTCTTCCTTTGTCTTTTCGCAACAGTAGCACAGTTTCTTGCTTTTGGCCAGCAGGACCAGAGGTGATCGTTGTTAACCCCGGCCCCAGTGCGACCTCCCCCATTCATCCAGGCTCAGCACTGACACTAGGGTTACAGATGAACACTATCTGATTCATGCTATGAAGTATCATTTTATTATACAGTCAACACAACAACATATTTTCTTATTTTAAAAGAGCATGTCGAGTAGCCAGCTGTTACTCTTGGTTATTACATATTTAAAGTCAGTCAGATTATGGTTCCATGCTCGTGGTCAACAGAAAATATAACAAAGCAAATCCTGCAGAGTTAACCATAACTTCGTGATTGACCTCATTTCACATCTCAGGCATTTTTTTCAGACATGTGTTTGGATAATTAACAAAAATAAAACTCACAGCTTTTGCTTTTTTTCTAATTTCCTCAAGACTCCAAGGAGGAAAAAACATTTTCAAATTTTCTAGTCAGAGTGTAGTTCATTAAGGCACACGGTATCGCCCTGACGAAGCTGGCTCCCATGCCATTATAATATCCTTTAATTCCATATCTTTCATATATCCCAATCAGTCCCGGTAATACACCCGAGGCTGGCCGTGAATCTGATCTGAAAGCTGAAGAACAAGACAAACAAACATGAGTAAAACATTCCCACATAAAAGCTTCATATGAAACTGTAAACTGTGCCGAATGAATGAGAGCCGATACCCTGCGCTTGCTGCTGAGTTCGGATCACCGCCAGCGGGTAACTGGTGATTTGTCCAGAAGCGAACGCCACAAAGCTGAAGAAAAACAGTTTGGAGTCACTGTTGTAGGCGGGATCGCTTTTTGCCCAGCTCATGATTGACTGCAATTACAAAATAAGCAATTAGCATCTTTTCAAAATAAAAGTTCACTTGATCTCTGTTGTCTTCTGGCCCACCTGATGAACAGCACACTCCACACCTGCATAGGGGATCATACAGAGGATGCTGGGCTTGAATCCTCTGTAAAAGGAAGACAAAGACTCGCTTCTATAAATGGATCGGGCACACACTGCAACACCATGGTAAGTGCCAGCCTGCTGCAGGTTCAGCCTCACCTTCAGCACCTGTAGAGAAAACAAGAGGAGAGTGAGACTGCTAAAAGAGATCCCCACTAATAAATTAAAGTGGGTCTATTAGTCTCAATTCTTGGACTCTACTAGAGCAGCTTTGAGTGATTCAACAAATTTTACATTATCATACAGTTTAGCTAATGCTGAACTTTGGTGAAGCCTGTCAGTTCATCTATTGTCTGAAACAAGACTCCTTAATTCCTCAGCCTCTAAACCAGCTTTCTTCAGGTTTGCTTTGAGTAGCAGTGGGGCTTCACAGCCACAGAGATCACAACCTTTTTTCCTCACCTAATTCTCCAGTCACATGTTTCCATTGTATAACTATTCTCCAAACACTTGTCTGGCAGTAAATTTTTGCTTTTGCTTGTTTCCTACCTCATGTTTTTTTCTTTTGGTTCCTTATGGTTGCTACGTAAAATGCATATTCCCCAACTGGCAACTGGTTGCTGGCTCAAAACCCTCGTTGTGATTGCTTTGGTCATTAACAGGTTCAAATGGAACATGCCAACTTGTTTGCAGACACTGGCCACTTACTCTGTGAGTTTAAGCGGCACTTTAAAAAGTGCAGCTCAAACCAGAAACAGAGAATATTCACCATTAAAAGGAAAGCTGTGCCTTATTGCTGCAACAAACATATCTCAAAAAGCACACATTTTACATTAAAAGGGAACAGTTTCCCTTCTTAAAAAACTTCACCACTTAGAGAGTAGTTTGCAACTGTTTGGAGACAATTCAGGATCTTCTTGTGATACAAACAATTGCAAGGAGTTTTTCAGTGCAGCATTGTGTAACTGTTTGCAAACATTTACTCACTATGGATGGCTAGCAGCCTCCACTAACCACTCTCCAACGGCTGCAGAAGAAATGCTTTTTCCTAGCAACTGGTTGCTGACTGGTCTCTAGGCATGACTGGAGCCCTAACCTGCCATGTTGGTAATAATTTGGGGATTTTGGGCTTTTACATTTCTGTTAACTAGACTTCTACAGGGGAAAAAAAGTTTATGTAGCACATAGTAATTCAGAAAAGATACATGTCCTGAAATAAGAGGGGATATGAATATATACCATTTTACCCATTTGCTGTGCTATCAACTGTTTATGATTCAGAATACCTGCTGTATAATTCATCAAACTCAAGATGACCTCATGCTCAAAACACCAGAAAACCAGAAAGATTAAAATATGTAGTGAAATACAAAGAGAAAGGTTAGTAGTTAGAGGAACAGGGGTTTGCTGTCGACCGTGCATCTTTTTTGTATTTATTCACGTGCTCTGTGTGGGATGGGAGGAAGAGTTTGTGCATTTTGGTTTTATGATGCTCGTTTGTTTTTGTTTTTAATTAAAAAAAAAAATACATTTATTGTTGATAAGATGGTGTTGACATGATGTTGATATCATCAGTGGTAACATTTTTGCTTGTATTTGGGCTGCTGACTGTGGAGGGGTTATTTGAGACTTTAGTGTGACGAACGCAAACAAAGGAGAGCCTCTAAAAATATCAGAGCATGCTGGCCTCAGTACAGAATGTTAGTTTAATGTTGTTATAGCATAAAGGGGAAAAACTGAGTTGAATAACACAGTATCCTCCAGTTTCTCATAATGTAAGAAGCAAAAGCTCAGTTTTAGTATTTTCCTCACCTGTTTACTCCACATTGCCGTGGCGATTTATCAGCCTCAAAGTAATACAGAATACAGTTATTCACGGCCATGAGATTACAGATGAAGATCACTGTTTCCCAGCATCTAAAGTATTTGTGTGGTTGTTCACGCACTTCCTCATGGTGATTGTTTAATATTAATATTGGAACATGTGTTGTTCTCTTTGGAGATACTGTAGAGACTGACTCATTTGTTTATGATAATAAAAAGGCTTTATAATGAGTCTAACAATGACATAGTAACAATTAAAACAGTCAGTGATCTGCACTTCAGGACAGAAATGTTAAAGTACTCAGATCTGCCACTGATCTAACCTCTAAGGGGTAGAAGACAGCGTGAGCCACAGCTCCAGAGATGCAGCCCAACCCGAAACGCTGCTGCACTGTCAGAGTCTGCTGGGTCCTGTTTTGGGTGTAGACCTTCATCTAAACGGAGCAGAGGACATCTGAGTGTGCTAATCAATCGGAAAAAAATAAACTGTACACCAACAGCTCAATGCTCAGCCTCACCTGGGCGTAGATAAGACACTGAAGTGTCGACTGTGGCGTTCCTTTCAGCACGTTGACAGCATTGCCTTGCCACATTGACCGCAAACCACCTCCTCTCATCTCCTGAAAACCCTGGGAGAAGGCCTTGGATCCATACACCTATTGTGGAGACAGGAAGTCATTTTCAGTGAGGTGCAGGTGTGCAGTGATGTGGAACAGTCACAACAGCAACACTTTTAGGATAAATATAGGTACATAAAGTTAAAAGCAACAGTTTGAATGCAGGTCATAAAAATAAGGCAGGCAAGCTGATAACAGACTGTTTTTAGAGCCAGAGATACTAATGTAAAACTAGGCCGGGCTCACAGCCAAAACGAAACATCCATCCATCGTCTTCTGCTTACCCATATCAGCGCCACAGGGGAGCTGGAACCCAAAAATTTACATTATCTTAAAATGCTAAATAGCTTTAATGTTTTTTTCTGTCTCTCTTTGTTAGCCCTGTGACAGACTGGTAACCTGTCTGTGGTGTACATCTAGGATAAGCTCCAGCTCTCCTGCAACCTTGATAAGCAGTTAAGAAAATGGATGGATGGACAAAAGAAGCATATTTGCTTATTAATCTATACTGTGACACGATGTTAAAACATGAGTGGCTCTTTTACAAAATGATTCAAACCTTTATTTAAGCATTTCTTAGAGCCATTTCTTTGCAGCAGGAACAGCTTTGACTCTACAGGCTTTGTGCACCTGGGCTTTGGTAGTTTATCTAATTCTTCCTGACAGAATTTGCGAGTCTTCCAGGGCCACATAATAGTTACGCTGAGTGATGTAGTCAGAAACTCTGTAAAACCGCTGAGCTTGAATAATTATTACATAATTTGTGTGATGTTTCTGAAACATTTTCCTTTTCCTTTTGTCTGCAGTGCCTTGTGATAGTGGAGCTGACCTGAAGTTGTGTTTTAAGGCGGTCTATGGGTGCCGTCATGGTCCGGGACACAGCATCCGCCAGTCCTGCTGACATAACAAATGTCCTCCAAGCACTGAAGCCTGACGCTTCTTCAGGGAACTCAATGGGGATCCCGCGGCTCTCCCCGACATCAAACACCTGCAGGAGTACAAACAGGAGGACTTAACTGATCACCTTTTGAGGAGACATTTTAATCGCTGTGTAAATGTAAAGCATAATGGGAATGATCATACCAAACTGTGTTTCCATGAGGACACTAGCTCCCCGATGTTATCCACAGGGTTGAGGATGATGTGGTGCAAGAATTCATCCCAATCCACCGTCATCGAGTTGTCCTTATCCATCCTGATGTTGCCAAAGACAACGACACTTGTCAAGTTTCAGGAAATAAAGCTTTCACATCCCGTATTAACATCACATCATTTGTCCATTTTCAAAACAGCAAGCTGAGTAATAATCATTTATAATTCAGAGATACAACAAGTTCAGGTTAGCCAGGTAGTGAGTCCATACTGAGGGATCCTTTTAACCATTCGTTTAATCTGGCAACCCAAAATAATCACGATTATGCCTTAAATATATTTTATTTAATGCTAATTATGCTAATTATTTTAAACCTATATGCCAAGTATAAATGCATATATACTCAAAAACAATAATGAATCTATGAGGTAGTGGGCAAGAAAATCTTACATTTGTATAATTTTTTTTGCATTCGGCTTTGAAATGACCACTCCTAACTCCTTAAACAAACATATGATGTCCTCCTGGTCAATGAATCCTGATCAAAGAAGAAATGCACAAAATTACAAACAGATACTGCTCTTCCTCATAAGTGAAGTTTCTATATGATGTGCTATGGTCCCTGAAATGCTGCAGGTCTGTGTACCATAAACAGATCTTTTGTTTGCCTGCCAGCCAGTCGTGTCTGACCTTGAAAACACATTTCACCATCAACAAAATAAAAAATGTATTCAGGTTATCGAGGAAAAGTCATGTTAGAACACACTTTCTGCAGAGTTTTGTTCATTATGTTCTTTAAAGGACAAAAAAGCAGGAGGCGCAGATCTTAAAAACTGATTTAAGTCCTCACATACTTCATTTTGTATCATTCATTTTTTTCCTCCAGAAATGTATCACTTATAAGGCGGTAAGACTTTCAACTCACCACAATTATTCTTATCAAGGTCATGAAAGTGAATTTTCCACTTCCTCTCTCTGTCCATCATGTAGCTGAGGAACTCTTGATAATCCAGCAGGCCATCTTTGTCTCTGTCATAAGACTCGACGATACTCTACAAGAAACAAAAACAGCTCTCTCAATAGCAGGTTTAAAAAAACAATAATAATACCGATGCATATAGATGCTATTAAGAATATTTGTTACCTGGACCTTCCCATCCGCTGAGATAATACCATGCTTCCTCATTTCGTCTTGTAGCTCCGCCACAGAAACGAATCCATCCTCATTTTGGTCCAGTTTACTAAATAATCCACGAAACTGATCCATGGTTCATGCAGAAAAGCAGTAAAATTTTCCAGATGCAAACAGAAAAAACCTTTAAAACCTTTTATTCGTTGCAGGACCTTTTAAAGGAGATTTTAAAACATTCATTCATTATCACCAGAGATGATTGACCTGCAGCTCTGCAGAGGCGCTGACTCACTGGCAGAGAGAGAGCTTCTATCAGCGGTTTTTGTAAAACTCACTTCCTCTAAGGAACACCAGGGGGCGCTGTGGCTGCAGGAGAGGCCACCTTCATCTAAAATAGACACAGTGGCCTCGAACCTGTGATCTTCTGCGAGCTGTTTATACAAAATGTATTATTTATTTTTTTTAAAAGGAGACACATCTTGCAGATAAAGGAAACTGCTGACATCAAGAATTCCAACCAGTGGCTAGAAAAAGCTGACCTCGAGCACAGCACAGAGGCTCTGATCACAACAGCGAGCCTCAAAGCACCAGATGCCTAAAAGCAATCGTCTGCCACACTCGATAGGACCCAAGATGCAAGCAATGCAAAGGTCCCACTGAGACAGTCCTGCACTTAGTAGCAGCATGTAAGATGCATGCTGGCACACAGAGAAGCACTGGGTTTGGATAGTACACAGAAATGTCTCCAATTCCCAGTGGAAGACAGGTCAGCAACTGCTGTCCAACCAACAACACATCCATCCAACACATTCTGTCATCCAGCTGCCAGTAAATTATTGTAAAAATTACACATTTACAGAGTCATGACAGAGAGCAGAAGACTACGGTTGTGATAGATGTGCCAGTTAAAAGGAGGAGACCAAATGCACTGAATAACTGGAGCAGATAGGAAAGGAGGAGTGGTCCCAGTGGTTACAGGAGTATTACAGGACCTGTAACCCCCAAACTGGGAGAGTGGCTCCAGCAGATTCCAGACACAATATCTGAGAGGTCTGCAGTCCAGGAAGAGCTAAGTACTAGAGGAAGACACACATACCAATCCACGGGGGGTTGGAGGCAGTCTAGCAGACTTTGGTTTCAGTGGCTCTTCTCCAGTGACTGATGGTGTAATCCATAAGATAAAAAAAAAGAAGAAGAAAAAAAGCCTAAACTGCTACATGTAAAAGGGAGGAAAACAACTTGAGGATAACGATGAATTGCTTGAATACGGATTTTCTGTGACTTTGGGAGCTTGAGTATTTCAGAGTTTGGTTAAATATAGTTTTGTGATTTTATTGTACCACGTGTTTATTGTCTTTATTTACATTTTTACCCGCATTCCTGGTTTGTTAAGATTAAAGAAAACGCCAAATGTTATAGGATAGTTAAGATACTGACATATAAGATATTTATTACCTGGGCCTTGTCATCTGATATACATACAACATTTTCCTCCAGATAAGCATGGGGAGTTTCAGAGTTTCCATTGCTTCCCATTGGCTGTCAGTTTTGTGCGATGACGTCATGGCTATAAACGACATCAAATACAGTGACTGGTCTTTTTTCGCCTCTCACCTGGATGATGTGCAAAGGACCCGGTTTGGTGAATGACGAGTATCGCCACTTACTTTCTAGAAAAAGCCGCCAGATTCCAGTCCACAGCGTCCACTTACGCCACTCATACCGGAAAGCAGCTTTTCAAAATAAAACCAATTTATTCTCATGTAAGGCAAGTAAAAATGTTCTATAAGAAAAAAAAAAAGAAACTAAAATAAAAATATACACCTACAACATTCAAGGAGTTTCTTATATTTATTCCATCCATCCTCATCCGCTTTGTCCGGGGCCGGGTCGCGGGGGCAGCAGCCTAAGCAAAGAGGCCCAGACCTCTCTCTCCCCAGCCACCTCCTCCAGCTTATCCGGGGGAATACCAAGGCGTTCCCAGGCCAGCCGAGAGATATAATCTCTCCAGCGTGTCCTGGGTCTGCCCCGGGGCCTCCTCCCAGTGGGACATGCCCGGAAAACCTCACCCAGGAGGCGCCTAGGCGGCATCTTTGTCAGATGCCCGAACCACCTCAGCTGGCTCCTTTCGATGTGGAGGAGCAGCGGCTCTACTCTGAGCCCCTCCCGGATGGCTGAAATTCTCACCCTATATCTAAGGGAGAGGCCAGCCACTCTTCGGAGGAAGCTCATTTCTGCCGCTTGTATCCGCGATCTCGTTCTTTCGGTCACTACCCACAGCTCGTGGCCATAGGTGAGGGTAGGGGATTTTATTATTTCTTAATAAAATTCACCTCACATTAAACATATCTCAGTAGGTTTCTTTATGAATTTAGGTTGCTTTATGAGAAGGTGAACAGATCTGCATTTTCTCTTCTCACTGTGAGGCCTGGGGGAGGAGCTGTGGTGGCATGGAGATGTTTTGCTGCACTGTTGGGGATTTATTTAGAATTAGAGGTAACACTTAACCCACGTCAACATGCATCAATTCAGCTCAGTGGATAAAGAATCAGCATCACATAACCGGAGCTCAACAATCTGGGTCTAAACCTGGGTGAAGCTGGTTGATCTTTGTGCCTGAGAAGACCATATTAAGGGTTTCCCCTCTCTGTGACGTCATAAAGAGCCAAGAGTAGACAAAACTGTATGAAACAGAGCATTTAGAGGAGTCAGAAGTCTGAGCTTTTGGCTCATGATTGCCTGTACATAACCTCATTATTTGAAACTTTGGCCTTGTTTAATGTGAATATCCAGCATTATAGTCGTGTATATACAAGATGTTTTTAAAATGTAGAAAAACAATAAGAGTAATGAAAAACTCTACAATGAGAAGGTGTGTTTCAAATTTTGAGTGGTGCTGCATAAACAGCAGAACTGTATGCTTGGTAACACTTTCGAGATCGAATTCGAACACAATAAACATATAATAATTGATTTTCACTTCATGGGTACCGCACTGAATAGCTGTAAGAATTTATGACTTGGTTTTACAGTAAGCAGAGTGCATCTCAAAATTACAAATCGGGTATTGGTTTGACTGTAGTTTGATATTTTTTTTTAAATCTCCAGTCAAAAAATAATTGTCCCACCTGTTCATCTTGAAGCGTGTTTCGCAGTTTTTATTGTTTTTCTTGAAAAAAAAATTTGATACAAGACATTCTCTAATGCCTCATAATTTTGGAAGCTCAAGCTCAAGCGCACCGGAACCAGAATTATTTATTGCGTCTGACTTGACTTTGGCGCTGTGGATACAGGGGAGGGAGCCGTGTCTATTTAAAGAGGGTCATCCAGTCACGGATAAATAACAGACGGTCCACGGCGTTGACTAACCCCCTCTAAATGGTCTTCATCCTCCACTGTGTGTCTGTCTGCGGATACTTATTGTTTATTAGTCAGCTGTGACAACCATCCGCCGACCCGCGTCAGGCCAGTCTACCTGCTCTGCTCCAGGAGCTCTAGCCCCCTTTGTATTTGTTAATTTATTATTTTTCTTATAGGGGGATAAGTGGGTTAAAAATGGGCAAAGATTACTATAAAACGCTGGGTATCTCTAAAGGAGCCACGGATGAGGATATAAAAAAAGCTTACAAAAAACAGGCGCTGAAATGGCATCCGGACAAAAACAAGTCTGCAGCCGCCGAGGAGAAATTTAAGGAAATCGCCGAAGCATATGAAGTCCTCAGTGATCCGAAGAAAAGGGAAATTTATGATCAGTATGGAGAGGAAGGTAACGTATATTTTTTTAATTACACGCTATTGTGTGTTTCGGGTTAAAACACCGTTATGAACGCGCTGTGAAGCTGGATGGCTGCATGTAAAACACAACTGGCTTCAATTCAAGTCGCACACTGTAACCAGCACAGCAGCAGGCCCACAGCACAGCTGTTCGGCAGATCATCTGCATACATTTCTGTGCATTTTATCATGAGGCTCAGTCCATATGTGGCACGGCACTTACAGTAATAAGCTCCAATTTTAAGAGAAACCGGGGGTAATATCGATTCACACCAACAGCCATTCTGTACAAAATGTTACAGTAGCAGAGGTACATGCAGCTACATGGAGATTTTCAGTCCAGACTGCTATTTTCGGGATCTTTGGTTGGTGTGAGGAAGGAAAAATAGACCATCCATCATCTCCACAACCACATATTTAAAATTTATGGAGGCATATTATGATTTTTACAATTTTACTCACACCAAAACATTTTTCTCCTCTTAATGTAACTGGATACACGAGGAACCTTTCTCAGAAATGCACAGTTTAAGGCACGGGAAGTGTAAAGCAAGAAAATGCATGCAGGAAAAAGTTAAAATGACATCATGAGCATGGAAATTTGAACCATATGGCTTCTGTAAGAGCTCCCTCAAACCATGCAAACAATTCCCTGAGTTGGGAGTTGATCTCAATCAAAAAAAATCCGCTGATTACTAGTGGTGAGATCCATTTATAAGAGTAAAAGGGAAAACCAAACAAATTTTCCAGTTTTGTAACAGGGGACATGCTCTTATATGTGATACCTCTACCAGAAAGCGTATCCCATCATCCCATCATGTCCACAAAGGTGGCGTGGTTCAACTTTAGCAGTTGTACTCAGTTTGGCCCTGTGATGGAGATACATGAAAAACTTTTACCTGAACAGTTTGAGAAGGAAGCGATGTAAAGAAAGAATGAGCATAACATGGCTCCATCACAGAATCTAACTGCAGCATTACAATTACCCTCTACATGAGTCATCTCCTCTAATATCTCAAATATATCTTTCCTGATATTGATATTAAAAATACTTTGTAAGACTCAGAATTTGTCCATCTATGTCTGAAGTGGCTTGACTTCTCAGCATTTTATGTCATTTTCTTGCACTAATCCAATTTTCCTTCTCGTGACACCAGTACTATCCCCTCCACTCAGAGTACCAACCAGTATCAGCTGCTAGTTGAATAACAGCCACAGTCTGGTGTTGCCATGTTGGCATTTTTCCCACATCATGTTTCTCCAGTGCAACAATATTATTGTTGTGATGTCATAGCTTTGAGACTGCCGAAGGAGACTGGAAAACTTTGATAATGGAAGAATTTGTACTTCAGGACTTTCTGCCAGAAAGCCTTTGTTTGTTAACCTAACCCTGAACATGACAATGTAGAAACTGTGACTGAACTGTGACTGAAAAATAGTAATGATTTAAATTAAAAAAATTAAAAAAAAAAGGCTAAAAACAATGCTATTTACACTGACTTTTTGGTTCGGGGTAGTAAGTAGCACTGCTAGTCCTCACCATCAAAAGGAGGCAGCTGAGCTGGTTGGGGGATCTGACTAGGATGCCTCCTGGCCACCTCCCCGGTGAGGTCCTGCTGAGAGGAGGCCCAGGGGCAAATCCAGGAAATGCGCTCTCAGCTGGCTTGGGAATTTCTCACCAGAAGAACTGGAAGAGGTGTTTGAGAACAGGGAGTCTCTCTGACACTTTCCCCTCCCTCATCTGATGTCCCAAAGTTTTTCCCTTAAGGAAAACTTTCTTTACTCCCATATTTTTCTGTTTTTATTTTGGAATGATGGTTGAGGAACATCATTAATAAGATGTAGGTAATCTCTGAGGTAATGTGGCATTTTAACACTTAAAAACCACAGTACTCACTCAAGAATGATGTAAAGTGTGAAATAAAGAAACTGGGACCATCGTGGTTTGATGTTTTAGCTCTAAGATCATTCAGCACAACTCTGATAAACTGGGCTGTACTTTGAAGTCAGAGTTTATCAGTCATGCTGTAAGTGCTCTCGCTGAGCTGAGCACTCATGTCATTAATCATTTCTGTTGCCCAAAAGGTCTCAAGGGAGGAAGTGGGCCCGCTGGTGACGGACAAGGCACCACTTTCACCTACACCTTCCATGGAGACCCTCACGCCACCTTCGCCACTTTCTTCGGAGGCTCCAACCCCTTCGAGATGTTCTTCGGACGTAAAGCGAACGGGCGAGACGACGAGGACATGGAGGTGGACGGAAACGACCCCTTCGGCTCCTTCACCAGCTTCAACCTGAACGGCTTCCCCCGTGACGGCCACGTGGGCCTCGGGGGGCAGCAGCGGCGGAAGCAGGACCCGCCCATCATCCACGAACTGAGGGTCACCCTGGAGGAGGTGTTCCACGGCTGCACCAAGAGGATGAAAATCTCCCGCAAAAGGCTAAATCCAGATGGCAGGACCATGCGCACTGAGGATAAGATTCTCACTATCGAGATTAAGCGGGGCTGGAAGGAGGGAACCAAGATCACGTTCCCCCGGGAGGGAGACGAGTCTCCAAATACTATTCCCGCTGACATTGTTTTCGTCATCAAGGACAAACCACACCCCCACTTTAGGCGGGAGGGCTCCAACATTGTGTATCCAGTGCGTGTGAGCTTACGACAGGTGAGGCCTTTTCTATTTTGGCACCTGCTTTGTCTGAGTGTAGAGGTATTAATAGAGTCTGATAGATGAATAAGTCACACACAGAACAAGTTCATATTTAGCTGTGAGTGCAGCTTTAATGCTCTGCAGCTTAAACGCTGGTCACAATCAATAAACTGTAGGTACTCTGCTTCAGCTGTTTCCCTGGAAAGCACGGGCTTAAATGGATCAGTATAGTACCAGACCAAACTCACACCTTGAATGCACACTTATGTAATCTGGATCATCGGCGCAGAGAAGTAGGAGCTGTATCGCAGGGAGAGCGGAGAGGCGACGGCCACCCACGTGCACACGGTGCAAGATGTACTTACTTATGTGGTTCCTCCCCCTCAGCACACAGTGAGAGATATAACCTCCACATCTCTGAATTTATGACCACTACCAGCAGATCAGCTGTGCATGCTATAATTAAGCTGCCTTTCAATCAGTTTCCAATCACAATGAGACTCTTGTTAAGAAGAAAATGTGGGCAACCCAATTAAAAATAAAAAAGCACACAGACAGAATGATACCTGAAGCCATTTAGTCTTTCAACATGGAAATTATGACCACCTGTAATCACTTGATGCTGATCAAACTTCCTTCTCTTGATGAAGACTAATCCGGAGAGTTCAAGTGGTTCAGGGCTCTGAAAATAGCCTTTAAGATTGTTTTGTGGAAGCAGAATTAAACTAAATTTTAAAGTCTGTTGAAGATTAATCAGAAATCTAAAAGACAGATGTAGCTTCTATCTTGGATAATATGCTATAGTGCCTTAAACCTGCATTCTTGCTGATGACCAGCAGGGGGAGACTCCTCTAGTTGCAATGAAAGAAGTCAGGCTGTATAAAAATCTGTGGGGAAATGATCCTTCTTCTTACTTGATTCATGATCTCTTTGAACAGTTTCCTGGTAAGCTTATGTTCTCAGTTTCAAGTTGGATCTCACATTGAATGCAACATGTTGTTTGTTTTGTCAGTTATGCTCCTCGTTAGTGTCAGGAAGGAAAACCAAGCTGAGGATACTTTAGGTTTGAAAAGCTGCTGCCGGTCACACCCGGCTTCAACGCTAAGATGGCATCAGCTCGAGGCTCCAAACAAAACAAACACTCGAAAATATTAAGTTGATATCATGTTAAAAAAATATACAGTTTAGTTAATATGGTCACATTGTACTGGTAGCAGATGTTAGACTTGATGAGCTTTTGTTTATCAGCTCATCTCTTTTCACTCTGGGTGTATTTGCTCTTTTTGTCTGCTTTTGTGCAGCTTTGGTTGCAGAATCTCTCTCTCGATCCACCTACGCTCGTGTTTTGAGTTAGATTAGATAGAACGGTAAAGTATTTGATTAATAGCTCTAGTGTAATGTGAGATTCTACGCATGTATCGCAAAGTAAGCACGGCTTTATCTGATCAGATAAAGCTGCAGTTAAATTGCTTTTTCTTTTACTTTTTAACTTGCATAACAAAGGCATGAACACATATTTTGACATTTGTTGTGTAATTATGTTTTTCCACTGACCTATACTGTGAATATTTGCATGTATCTCATGCCTCTGGTTTAGTCTGCAGAAAAGATTCAAACACAGAGAGGAAACCATTTTGGACTTTCAGGGAATTAAGGGGAAACTGTAATTATTGCTGGCATTGATAGCAGGAAAAACATATCAGATGGGCAAATAAGATAAATCCTGAAACTGTAGAGATCCAGCCAAAGGAAACACAGGGATTAAATACACACAAGCAGGGAAGGGTAATAAGAAACGGGTGAACACAATCACACAACAAGCAGGGTGGGAAAACAACAGAGCAGAGAAGAACAAACGCACGAGGATCAAACCTGTAGAATAAAGTAAGAAGGAAACTGAAAGTGGGACAAAGGAAAAGAAAACCTTTAATAATAATAATAAAATAATGATAAAAGGAACCATAGATGATGCACCGACATAGCCGGTGAGCAGATTGCTGTGTTATTTCTGCCGTTTTTGCAGTCGTCAGTGTGTGGGTTGCTGTTCTCCCGCCGATCCTCACCTTACCCTCATATTCTTGTCTTCACAGTCGCTGTGCGGATGCTCCGTCACCGTGTCGACGATAGACGGGAAGACGTGCAACATGAAGATCACGGACGTCGTCAAGCCCGGCATGAGAAAAACTGTAGCCGGACAGGGTCTCCCGTTCCCCAAAAACCCCGAGCAGAGAGGAGACCTGGTGGTGGAGTTTGATGTGAACTTTCCCGAGTCTTTGCCGACAAATGCCAGAGATGTCCTGAAACGGCATTTACCTGCTTAGGAAGAAATAAACGAGGGAGACAGAGCCACATGACACACACACACTTACACACACACACATGCACAAGGACAGTTCTGACAGTTCCCAGATGGACCCCCCCTTCCCAAATGGTGAATGTGCAATTTCTATTTTTGAGCTATGTGGTGTTTTTATAAATGCCATGCATGCTGCCAAGTTGATACAAGTGCGAGCGATATCTGAACGTGCACATTTCATGTTTGTGGGCCTTTGCCACTTTTTCGTTAGTTGGAAATGTTTTGGTGTGAATGAGTCTACAGCTGCAAAAGCAAAAAACAAACTTTAGTGTCAAACAGCTCGTTGTCTTACTTTAGACTCGTCAGGCTTCACGTTTGCTTTGCCGCGAGCAGTGAACTTTGATTTGGAGGTTCTTTGGAGGTGGTCGAATGAACTCAGCAGGTGCAATGTGTGCATTTTAGAAACTTACCTGTGAAAATACCTTGACTTGAATTTTAAAATAAATATTTACACACAAACTGACTCGAGCTGTTTCAGCCACGGAGAGGCTCAGAAACGCGTCCTCCTCCGGGATATAAACAGTCATCGCTTTAAAAAGACAAAAAAAAAAAGTTAATACCGCTTAGGATTATTTATAGTCTGTGTAGCATTATTATTACACAACATGGGTTCTTTGCAGCCCAGGGGGGAATGAAATGAACCTATATTTTGATAGTCAAATGTGAATAATTTGCTGTTGTAAAAAATGTTTCTGATGTGCGAAATTAAAATTAAAAATACCTTGACTGAAGTTAATGTGTAAAGTTACTCACAGTACAAATATGAATGTGTAATTATAGCTGTCTGTTAGCTCCCCTGCTGCTGACGCATGCAGGAGAGCTGACATTTTCCCACCAGGGGATGCCACATCTTTATGACTCAGGGGCCCACAGCCAGGATGGTCTGTGTTAGCGCCAGATTTGCTGCGGTTTAGTCATTTTCACTAAATTTCCCATTTTTATTTAGTTTTACATCAGTGATTTTTATTGATTTTAACTCAGTGAGTTTAGTGTCTGTTTCAGTGCTACTTTTACTGGTTTGGGTAATATCAGGAGTTCAGAAGAGCATAACAATAAATAGACATATAAAAAAAAAACCCTCAAACTGGCTGTGTTGGCAGATAATAATATCCTGCTATTAAACTATAATTATCTATCTATCTACACATAGAAGCAGTGAATGATGAAGACTACGATGAACTTAGATTTTGGGGGAATGACTTACCCAGAGTGATAGGTAACAACAGTTGCTTCTCTAAAATTACTGCAGGTATCTTTCCTCCTTGGCATTGTGTTAATGCACACGTGAAAACTGCCAAAGCTTCAGCTTTGTCACAGATACTGATTGAATTGATCAGATGCATTTAGTGCTAGTTACCCTCTTAATTCCTATGGAAGCAGTAAGAGGATAGTTCGTTTTGCACACACTGCTTCTGCATTTTTCCTCAGTTTTTATTAAATGATTAATGACACGGTGTAATATGTCAATGTTGTTCATCCAGGCTTGTATTCCCACAACTTTAAGCTTTGCTAAGGAACGACTGATTTTTGTCACGTTCTGACATATAAAAGATTGAATTTTGAATAAGGTTGTACTTTCTTTTTACATAACTTGATCCGTCCATCCATCTTAAATCGTCCATCAGCATGTGTAGAGATTCATGCAGATGATGCGTCACTATCATGCACAGAGAGTGGAGAGTAAACACACATGCTCTGGGTAGTGTGGGAGCTCACCAGCTGCCGATCCTCTCCCTTCAAAATCGCCGTAACTCTGACTAGAAATTGGCATTTGGATTTTTCAATCTAGTATCTGTGAGCATTATGTGAGTAAAAGTATGGCCTCTGAGTTAAAGGTCACGGTGTAAACCTGAAATGATGTCTCCTGGAGCTTTTACCAACCACAGTTTCCCATTTTATGTTGTTTAATGTTGCATTTTTATCCAAAGTGCAGTGAAAGACTCATCATTAAATATTTAAGCTATGGATTAAAATTCATAAATCAATATTTAGTCCCTTTAAGATTGCGCAGATTCGATAACTAACAAGTACGACTGATTTACAAAGGTCTTTACTTTTTCATTATCAGCATTTAAATTGATTCTTCAAAGCCTGTTTTAAAGAGGAGCATTCAAACAGCAACTTCATCCTCATAATTATTTATTCATTAAATAGTTCCCCCAGCGTCTGTACACCCGAGGAGCAGTTTAAACAGATGCGTGCTTCACGCTCAGCCTTCAAGTAACATGTTATTGATGACTTATAAGCAACACGCTGATGGCCGTGTCACACTTGCTGCAGTTTTTCTCAGCTTCTTTGGCTCAGTCCTTGGATGACAGTTGAAATTGTCAAAACAATATGTGAAATTCTTAAAATGTTTTGTTATTTGCGCACAACAAAAAGAGTATTTGTCTTTTCTTGTTGTTTGCACTTGCAAATGTATCAGGTTTAGGCAAGTGGCTAAGTGCAAATGTCCACATGAACAATTATCAGTGCTATTTGGTGTGTCTGGTCAAAATAGATGCTATGAATAACTTAAATCCCGAAACTATGTGAAGATTATTTAATTGTGTAAGTCACCAAATGCAGGATTGTTCCTCAAATAGTTAAAATGTGACAGGCCTCTGCATGGTTCAGTCATAAATGTGCGTATTGTAACATAAATATTCACAATTTTCTCAGTTTTTTTTTTGCTCAGTTTACGTTTTCAAAATAATTTATGAAATCCTTTGAAGATTTCGGGTTTTTATGGACAATAGAACGAGCACGTCTCCATCTTTGTTATCACTTGGACATATTTTAGGAAACATAGGTACAGTTTTTACAACTTGAACAGTTATTGGCTGCAACAGAGTTACACCCTGAAGGAGCTGCTTAGACAAACATTTATAGGGGCAACAGGCTGCCAGTGGAAGAGGAAAAGGAAATGTGGTGCTGCAGCAAAGGAAGGAAAACACAATACAGTGGTGTGAAAAAGTGATTTCTTTTTTCTTTTCTTTTCTTTTTTTTTTGCATATTTTTCACACTTACAAATGTTAATATTATACAAAGATAACCAGACCAAATGAAACATATTTAATTGATGATTTCATTTTTCAAGATTAAACAAAGTTATCCTAACCCACGTGGCCCTGTGTGAAGAAGTAGTCCCCCCCCTACACCTGATAACCGGTTGTGCCACCCTTGGCAACAAGAACTGCAGTCTTGTGTTTGTAGTAACTGGCAAAACCTTCACGTCACTCTGGAGAAATTTCTTCTTTGCAGAATTTGTTGTAATTCAGCCACGCTGGGGGGGTTTTCAAGCATGAACAGCCTTCGAGTTTCAGATCATTGTCCTAGTGCAAGTCTGCTTGAGCTTTAGGGCACAAACTGATGGTTGGACATTCTCTTTGAGGATTTTCCAGTAGAGGGCAGCATTTGTGGTTCCATCATTTACAAGAAGTCATTCAGGTCCTGAGGCAGCAGAGCAGCCCCCGACCATCACGCTACCACCACCATGTCTGACTGTTGGTGCGATGTTCTTTGTATGAAACACTGCATTAGCATTATACCAGATGTAATGAGACCCAACGCTTCTAAAAAGTTCAGCTTTTGTCTTGTCAGTCCACAG